ATCACTCAACCATCCCCTTAGGATGTGCCAGATCTACCTCTATTTCATGCTGGATATTTTTTAGGTGGTAGGCTTTTGGCTGGTTCACTGCACTTTGAGTTTTTCTCCTTCTTTATCCTTTCTTGGCCACCTCGTCTGCAGTGTCTACACAGAAAAGGTATCTTTTAATGAAAGTCTGCGGCCTTTTCACAATTCTATTCGTGACAGGATAAGCAAGCGCCTAAAACATAAAGAAACACTGAGTGACTTCATATCGTTGTTGAAAGTCCTGATCTTATCCTTGATGTTGGCTACAGTATAGTTCCACACTAGTTTCAGATTAGTGTGAAAGTGTGTTTTTTTTGTCCCACCTTGTCCAACTTTCACATCATCAACACTATGACACCTTTACCTGAAATGAAACAGCCCAGATAAATGAATGGAATGGCTTCGTTCAAATTTCCTATGCTGATATTGATTGGTTTTTATCGTTCTTGTGACAGGGGTTGTGGTGGTTATGAAAGTTGGTTAAAAATCTTCATCACTTCCCCCATCTCTATGTTCAGTTGAAGTCCTGTTTAATAATAATAATAATAATGATTTACTTTATTCCAAAAACAGTACTTGTTATACAGAATGGAATTTTCAGCATTAATCACAAATTGCATCTAATTTCCTCAAATTATAAATAAAAATTAATCACACAGAAAATTTTCCACATTTACAATAGAGTAGTGTCAAAAGCATGCAGCATATAAAATGGAAATAATAATGATAGCAGCTAGGGTAGTAATAATAACACAAGTGAAAATTGCCGTGGGCTTGTTTCACACAGTATTGGCAATGTGGTATAGAAATCTCAACATGTTTAAAAATATTGAATATAATGTTCTCTTTACATGATATGGTGAGGGGAACAAACAAAGATTACAGCAGTCATAGAGATAAGTTGGTGTTTGCAGTTATGAAAGTAAAACAAAGAAGTAACAAGACCATAAATATAATAGAAATAATAGAAGTAAAACTTGAAGGTATATAGAGATGGATGGAGGAAATTGTTTATTTACTAGATGAAAAACGTTTGGTTAGTTAATTCTTGCTTGACACTATTTTCATCACATAAAATACGTGCCAAGTATGGCATTATAGAATTTTTATACTTAGACGTGTGAGCATACAGTTTTCTGAAGTTACTCCTTGTTCTATCTGAGGAGATGCAAGGTGAAAGCTGAGGGTAAGTAAAGTGGATGCTCCAAGTCAGACAAATCCCTTTAGCAAATCTACTGCACGAAGTCAAGTGCCTATCGATAACAACATTAACTATGTGGTCCACTTGGACACCACTCATCCTACTGACAGTCTTCAGCATTTTACGAATTGTAACATAGTCTTTTTTAAGCAGACCAAGAAAGAATAAGGGTGAACAATAAAGAAGAATAGGTAGGATGCAAGAGTTTATGAACTGTAAGTGGGTGGGGTTGAGATATACCCGAGTGCCTTAACTACTTAATATAAAATGTCAGGGGGAATATTTTACTGGAGATCTCTAAGACATATGATGGAAGTATATCCGATGTGTCGGTGGAAAAAGTGTTGTTATTTTTTCTGCTAAATACGCAAGAGGGAGAATTATAGATTTAAATTTAAAAAAAACTTTTTAAGTTAGATATTGATCATAGAAACAAAATAATTTGAAAATGAAGTAATTATCAACTTTATTTTATCATTACATTGGTTTTTTACTGCTTAAATTAACAAAATTAGACTTGATTTCTAAGTGAAATAAAATTTTTTTAAACAGTTTTTTCTTCTTCAAAATTTAATCGATATCAGGTGGAAAATATCGATTAATTATGAAAACAGATAAATTTTATTTCAGTTATTCACTTGAATTCAAAAAAAAGCAAATTCTCATATGTTAGTTAGTCAGTTAGTTTCACAGAGATTTGATTGATATCAGCCTTAATCTTGAAGCACAAGTTGTTCGTTTGTCTATCATCTCAACTTTTTATTTCACTTAAATCTTCAACAGATTATCATAAGGATTTTTTTCAGTAAACAATTTCATGGTATATCAAGAAAAATTATTTAATGAACTGAATTAGCTGGCGCGAAAAACAGTAACACATCTAGAGTTAAGTAGTCATATAGCACTATTCAAATTAACCAGTACTACTTGATAGATAGAATAAAATATCCTAGCTGACAGTGGATAGCTGTTTCGCTCGTTTTTGACATGAACTCATCAGCGGTCTATCTGGTTTAACTCAAGCCGAAGATTAACAGAATCACCTGAAATCATCAGATTTGTGATTAGCTAATTGGTCAAACTAGTAACACACTGTAACAGATTCTCATTTTTACAAGTTAAACAGTGCAAGGTGGTGAAATTTCACTATAGTTATCTTTAGAAATCTAAAGGTATTCAGATCACAGTATCTGATCTGCTTGATACCATGCATGGTAATCAGGTATAAATGTACTACTGAGTGACGGAATTATATGAGTAGCTGGTTTCTGCTGGCTGTCTAGAAGTCTGGTGATTTGAACTAAGTCGGTCAGTCTCTGACCTCAGTTAAACTGGGTACCCTGATGATGAGTCCAGTATGAAGTAAACGAGAAGGCCACCCATTGTCTAAATTGCTTCTGTTTAGCTAACAAGTACTAATGGTTAATGCGAGTAGTAGGAATTCTCTTTGATTGCTTGAAGCGCTTCATCGTGAGCTAATGTCAATTAGAGAACCATTGGGAAACCTAAGAATACTGGGTAGTTGTTTCGCCCACGTTTAAGACCCTTCAGTAGTACACATACCCACCCCACCGCGGTTGGAACCCTAGAACTTTTTGGTTACAATGCTGGCAATCTCGTAGATCATTAGGTCACTAGGACCCGATCCAATGCCTAGCCCATCAATTGTAACTTCTATCCATTTAAAGAAATTAGTTCCCTTTATGAATTTCGACAACACAATAAAAAGACTTAGTTTATCTGTTGTGCCAATACATTACACGTTTCAGATAAACTACGTCTTCTTTTTGTGTTGTCTAAATTCTATCGATTTGATTTGTAGCTGGAGGTTAATTATTACCCAGATAGAATCTAGATAGGGATAAGGCATTTAGAAGACAAATTTCACTAGATGATGGCATCATTTCGTAGTTGCTTTACAATCGCTTTGCAACTAACATGGTTAACAATAATAAAATAAAGTTCACGACAATTACTCAGTTATATAAAAAACAAAAGTATACACTAATGACAAATCATATTTAAACAGGTCAAGTAGTCAGTTCATGGTAGGCGAAGGTTGAAGTATATTGTTTTTTGTATTTTGCCGTTTAGGCTGTACGTGATTAATCCAAAGTGCTTCCATCACCACGTTCGATAACCTTGAATTAGGATTACGTGAAATAATTGTGAAACAGTCATTAATATCGATTTTGTGACCTGACATTAATGTGTTTTGCAATGGATGATGTTGGATTTCTATTCACATTAATCGCATTGGGATTTTCTACATAATTTAGTAACCATTTTGGAACATGTTCTTTTGGATGACGACGTTGGAACATTCTATTGGTTCTACCTATAAAGGTGTCACCATAGCTGCAGGTGAACTTGTAGCTACAGTTTGAAGTAGGAGTCCAAAGAATTTCGTCCTTTAATCGTAGGTAAAGGGATCGAAAATGTTCGGCAAATGAGAAAAAGAGATGTGGCGTAGAATGTGCGTTAGATGGTTGATCGAAGTCTTTGAGTTACCTGTCAACTGCATAATCTGGTCGCCTTTGAATGGTAGATCAATAAAGATGGCTTTCTTTGGTACAGAAGCTGTCTTTTTCTTTACTGTGACGAGCGATAAAGTTCTCCGGATAACCATTAGCTAATAAAACTGAATGTATATGTCGAAGCTCATCTATCAATGTATCATTCGTGCAAATTTTTCGAGCCCTTGAGAACAAACATTTCACCAGGGTACGTTTATACTGGATAGGATCAAAACTGGTGAGATGAAGATATTGTCCACTCCATATCGGCTTACCAAAAATATAGCGCTCAATTGTTCTGTCATCTCTCCTGGTCATTGTAATATCCAGGAAACTGAGTTTGTTATTCAATTCCAGTTCAGAAGTCACTCGTATATTTGGATAATATGATTAAATAGGATAATAAAGTTTTCAATAGATTTACTGTTAATGCCAATAATGAGAGTATCATCTACATGACGTTTAATATAGCATAAATTTTACAAGCATCCCTTGCATTTGTTTTTCCGATTTCGACATGATTATATCTGAATTGACAGATTGATAGTCAAGTCTATTCATGTGAATTAAATACGCCTAATAATAACGACAATAGCTAAATTCCAACTCAGTATTTTGGTTCAAATATGGAATTCTTCAGCATGCAGTACAGTACTGGATGGGTAATAACTGACAACAAGCCATTTACATTATTAATAATATTGTTCGATAAGAAGAGAAGTTGTATAAGAATTGTGATAATACTGGTGTCCGTAAAATAAACACCCTTATAAAAATTGAAATAGAAAGGTTGAACAGACTATATAATGAAAAATTTTTATCATGTAAAAATCCTTCAAACATTTGGAAACTTTTCAATAAACTTACAAGTAAAAAACAAATGTCTGTTGATGCTTATTCTGATGTTAATGCTTTAAACAAATCATTTATCAAGAAACAAATTAATATGGTTGTACCTGATGTACCTAGTCAAGAAAATGGTCATTTTCCGGGTTTTAAAGAAAAGGATGTACTATTATGTTTGAAATCATTAAATCCAACACACAGCCTTGGTCCAGATGGTGTACCAAGCATTCTTCTTCAAAAGTGTGCAGACATCTTGTGTCATCCTCTTACTCAAATCTTTAACGCATCATTTAACAGGGAAACGGTACCTGCTGACTGGAAAGAAATCAAGGTTGTACCTGTACAGAAATCATCTTCTGGAGCAGGTATAAAGTTTAGACCGGTCGCTATAACATCTCCTTTTTTGAAAACTATGGAGAAACTTCTTTTGAATATTCTTAAACCTTCTTTAAAAGCTTTTAGTGACCCTAAGCAGTTTGCTTATAAGTGTGGAAGAAGTACATTAGATGCAGCCATTGTACTACACCACAATATTGTTTCCTGCCTTGATAAGGGTGCTAAGTTCGTTCGAACAGCTTTTTTAGACTATACTGCAGCTTTCGACTCTGTTCCTAGGACACTTTTATTAGGAAAGATGATTTCAGCACAAACAGAGTCCTGGGCAACTAGATGGCTGTCTTCTTATTTTAAGGATAGGAAACAGCATACTGTTTTGGCTGGAAAGCGCTCCACTTCTCAGCTAACTGAAAGTGGTGTGCCTCAAGGTGCAGTACTTTCTCCATTTCTTTTCTCTTTCTTTTTGCATGACCTTCCGAACTCACCCAAAGTTAACTTCATTAAGTATGCTGATGATCTGACCGTTTCTGTCCCTGTAGTTTCCACATCGGATTGTTCCCATATGAATGGCTTCTTAGCTGAAGTTAAGGATTGGTCTGGCTCAAATGGTCTTAAACTAAATCCAACTAAATGTAACACTGTTGATTTCAGCTTGAGAAGTGAAAAAGACATGCATGGATTGATTCAATCTCATGATTGTTGTAATATTGATGGTACCATGATAGAGAGTAAGTCAAGTGTTTCTTATCTTGGCATTAGTTTCTCTTCAAACCTTTGCTGGTCGTCTCATATTCTTATAGTTTCTAAGAAAGTTTTCCGTCTGACTTATTACATAAAGAAGTTGAGACACTCAGGTATAACCCAATCTCTTATCATACAATTTATTAATTCATGTGTTTTGCCCATCATTCTTTATTGTTCTCCATTATTCTTCCCTGGGCTACTCAAGAAAGATCATATAATACTACGAAGAACATTGAGGGCTGTAAGTAGGGTCAGTGCTATCCCTTTGACTCAACTAAATGACACTGTTGTCAATAGGCATATGAATTCTTGTAAACACTTAGCTAAAGTTATCTTATCTGATAGTGAACATCCTCTTTATTCACAATTGTTTCCTTGTATCTCTTCGGGTAAGACCAGAAGAAATTTCATAAACATTTATGCTCGTACTACAAAATATAAAAATTCGACCGTACCATATTTGGCACGAGTATTGTGTGAAGAGACAAATATCAGAAAAGAACTTTTACAACTTTTAAATCATTAACTAAACTATAAAATGTAATGATGCATATTAATGCATGTGTTATTTGTTATATTATTTATTTATTATTCACTATGACCTAGCAATGGTGTGATTTTGTTGGGGTTTTATTTTTTCCTATTAACTATCAATATTTTAACATTTTATACATTTATATAATTATAAACAGAGCTAAACCATTGCAATATGTAAAAGAAACGCTGAAAATTCCATGCTGTAAATTGTTATTGTTGTGGAATAAAGTGATTATTATTATTAAGAATAATAGTATAAAACTAAATTAAATGAAAATATCTACAGCACTATCTCAAGGCGAGAAAGGAGGGCTGCTTACCTTAGTGTTTCTTATTAGGTTGGTGGTGTCCAACTTCTCACTTTTCTCATCACATAAAATGTGTGCCAAATAAGGTTTTGTAGAGTTTTTCATCCTTAGTCACCCAAGCATAAAGTCTTCTTTAGTTGCTTCTAGTTCTACCTGATGAAATGCAAGGAAAGGTGCTTAGGGTCTGACAATATAGTATTCCTTAATTTCTTGCATGAGCCCACGTATCTATCTGCAATAGTATTAACAAGTTGATTTAGAGACCCACAACCCAACCACCCTACTGAAAGCTTCCAGTACCCATCACACTGTAACAGTTTTTGTTAAGTAGCCCAAGAAAGATTAATGAGAAGCAATAAAGTAAGAATCGGTGGAATTAACAAATTGTATAAGTAGAGACTGAAACTGACACCAGATTGTGTTAACTTCTTTGCATAGAAGGTTTAACGAAATATCTTCTTAGAGGTTAACATGATGTGAAAAGACCAGAAAACATCCCGAGAAACAAAAGATCCAAACTATCCACCATTCAGTTTGGTTTCATCTTCAGTGCCATCTATGACAATAGGATCATGTGAATGAACCATTTCATATTAGTCACGCTTGTGTCTGATAGTGAAATTAACACCCTGATGATATTTGGAGCTATTTATCCTAAGGCTGTCGGAAAATACCAGTGACTAATTTCCGATAAAACTTTACTTATTTTGAGACAGTCCTAGTTGAGAAGTAACTGCCTGCATAGAAACCATCAGATCATCGGCATATATAACAAAATTCACTTTGTCAGAATGGTGAAAGAAAAAAGAAAACAGAAGAGGAGAAATAAAGATTGAATCATCACTATTAAAGGGGGACAGGATTAACCACTTTTCTTCACTTAGTAAATATTGGCCGGTGACATTTTCAAACGATCAAGTCATTCATTTACGCGTAACTCAAAAAATCTAATTACCTGATTGCCTAATTAAATTACTGCGTTATCTGAACTGTCATTCAACACAATCCACCATGTTTTCTTTTATTTGCACTGTTTAAGTCATTCAGTTATGCTCTTCAGTCGCAAAATTTACTCATACACATTTCTAACTGGCTTTTAAACTACCGGTAAGCATTTCTCGCCAATGAACGGGGAAATGTCATGAAGGCTAAGTTAATACCTCAAATCAGACAGAATTATTATTATTATATCCTTTAATTCCTAGAGGAACAAAGGGCTTCAGCTGCGCGCCTCCATTGCCTTCTGTCTTCTGCCAAATTTTCACTCCGCTCCAAGTCTGCCCACATGCTTTCATCTTTTCTTCACATGAACTGCTTCAAATCACCTTCGCACTGACGGCCAACTCGCTGCTTCCCTTTCGAGTTCCACTCGAGCGATGGCTTGTCTAGTGATGTCACTTGATGGTTTCCTCAGAGTATGGCCAATCCATCTCCATTTGTTCCTGCCTATTTGTTTCACAATCGGTTCCTGGTTTGTTCGATCTCAGATATCTTTGTTGCTGATCTTCTCTGGCTGTCCATCTGATCTTGGGTATTGAGCGAAGACAACTGTTGATGAAGGTTTGAAGTTTGTTAAAGATGCTCTTTATAACGTGCCAAGTCTCTGATCTATGTAGTAGCACTGACTTAACATTGTAGTTCAAAATCCGGATCTTATTTTTGATGCTGAGTGCTGTTGACCTCCACACAGACTTAAGAGTATTGAAAGCCTCTCTGGCTTTGATATCCACGTCAGTTCCGCCTGTAGTTGAAATGATGCTTCTTGGGTAGGTAAAGGAGGTTGTTTCTTTCAGGTTCCTCCCATTTACGCTGACTGTCGTCTGTTGTTGTTGTTGCTGTTGGTGTTGGCCAAGATTTTTGAGCAATCCCTAGAAAACTCTGGAATGGTTTTGTGTGCTTTCTCGGTGTCTAGAATCGATCAGGTGTTCCGGAATAGAAATGCCGCTAAAGTCTTTTTTCCTTTCTAAGAATCCAGTAACAGGATTGGTGATGGGATATCTGAAGTATTCTGCAGAGCGAGACCCTAAATCATGCATTTACTTTCATGAGTAATAATATTGAACTTGTTAACAGCTTTTAATATTCCTGATGAGTCAGGGTGTTGATGCTCATGCATAAATTGACGAAGAATACTCACTTCTACCCCTGTATCAACCATGATTTCAGTACCGGTGTTTCTGTCTGTTACATAAAACAAATGACTATTGGATTGTTCACTGCCAGCGGCGGAAGTTGTCGAAAATCCCAGTATATCCTTTACTTTTGTCTGAATATTAGAAGGCTGACTCCAACATCGTTCATTGCTTCCCTAAGTATGGTGATACCAACAAATACTACCACGATCTCTGGAAATTCTGTGTCAGAAAGCGACGTCGAGGAGATGGACTTATAGAACGGATTGATCATGTGCGCGTGGCTAGTAATGCTACTTGGCATATTCTGGAGTCGGTCTTGTGTTCTAAAGTGTGTATAGTCTTGGGTGTGCCGTACATTTTTGTGAAAGCTACAATATGAAGAGTTTACCTTTCATACATGCGATCGAATATTTCGGTGATCTTATGAATACTGATGTCATCATCTGCAAAGACTTGTTGAGTATTAACACGTAGCCATCGCAGCCAGATTTGATAAAACAGTCGTTTATCTATTTTCCTACCTGCTACGAGGCTTTGCATGCACCTCATAAGTTGACATAACATTTTATCACATTACCTGACAAGTGGTTTAGTGGTTGTCTTTCGGAGAATGAGGTGCAGCGTAGTACCTCTATTGTAAGTTTCTTGTACAGGGACTCCGTGCTGGGATGAACAGTATATTATCGTAATTTCTCATTGACTTCGTCAGGCGGTACAGCACTCAAAATATCAAATTCAGCTTTATTTGAAGATAGTTTATTTGCAGTGAAGCAGTGCTCAATTTGAGCAAACCAAACATGTGGACCTTTGAGTCTAAAAACTGGCACATGAAGAATGACAAATCAAACGGATTTAAGCTCGCTAGTTGTTTGACATGGAAAAAAGAGATTAAAATATCAAACGACAAGAATAATTGATGTGTATTATAACAAAATTCAGGTGACATGCACAGAAATTACTGCAAAATGAGTTCACTATGTGAAATGTATATACATATGTATGCGAGAGAGTTAGAACGTTTAAAATCCGAAAAGAGTATTAATAGTCAACTCACTAATTTATAGTGAACTGATATAAGCACAAAGAAGGGATTACATAGAAGACGTTTTGCTTCAGTCTCCAGCATACTAATGCATGAATTGAGAACACTACACTGAGCATTGTTCCGAAGAAAATTCTTCTTTTAATCACATGACAGGTTACATCACCCTTGAAATAAAAATTCACATCAAATTTCTTGTTTTTCAAACGTCATATTTCGTTTCTCTGAACTTATGTTTTGATATTTTCTGTCAATTGATCACGGTGGACATCCATTTTCTACGAAAGTTTCTTTCAGAAAGTCTAGTTCTGCTTTTAGAGCATTATGATTACATATGAATCGAATGCCAACTGCAACAGTCACCCAGCAGTATCCAGCAGAGCTACCTTATCAACGCTAAATCATCAAAATTACTTCAGTTTGAAGGATTATGCCTAATCGGTTAGCATGCAATGCCTCCAACCACTTATACTCATCATTATTTCTCGTCACAAAAATCAATAGTACTAGGTGTATGAAATTTATTCATATTTTTTTCATCTACTATCATATAAAACTCGAATATATGGTGCTTTAAAATGGTGTAGAATTAAAGGTTTTTTCTAAAATCTGAATTTTTATCTTGTTCAATAGTGAATTTATGTGTGATTTTCGTTTCACCTAGCCGTATCGGAAGACTTCTTGTCGCTTCCTTTTTCTTTTTGTTTCTGCCGCATTTCCTCAAAGTGTAGAAAAATTTCGGCTTCACAAATTTAAATTCATTATTATCCTAGCAGAGGTTTTTTCTTTATAAAGAAAGAGACATAAGACACAGTAATTCGAGTTTGATTAAAATTTTATGTAGTTTTTTTTCAAAATTTCCGTCTTCTTCTCCGATAGTGTGCGAAAAGTACTCACAAACGTACATTGAAGTATTGTTTTACAATCAACTATACTGTCTTAATCATGCAATAACTGAAGAATAATTGATTGTGTTTCCTTATGAGTTAAAATCAAATTCCGACAAGGTGTTTTATTTCTACAACTAAACTGCGCCTTTTCCCCTCAAAACTGAACTGAACTAAAAGGAAAGTAAAGTCCAAAATGGCTAGAAAAAAAATATTTATTGCAGACTTGTCTTTGACAATCAGTTAAAAGTAAAAATATTCAAATCATCTACCTAAGTGAAAATATTCTAAGCGTTATGCTTCATTGATCTACATTGTATCGAAATTGTTGTGCTTGACTTGTTTAAATGCAGCCATTTTGTTCAAGCGTTTCAATGTGCAAAAATAGAAGAATTATAAATGATATCCACCTGTCTGATAATCACAAGTCATAGATATTTTTTTGTATCTTTACGCTGTAAAAATACGAATTAAAAATAAATGATAAATACTTTTTAATTTGGGGGCGTAAAGTTATTCAGACAAAACTTTGAATTCGTGAGTCATGTTCACTCTTGGTAAACAATCACTTCAATCTGACATTGGCGCTTTATTAATTAGTAATTTACTGCGTCTAACACTACTAGAAAAGTCTTAAATGTCCCGTTCAGTGATTGGTTACAGAATTCTCTTAGTTGAAGACTGGCCTTAGTCAATATGTACGTTCTTTAAAATGGCTGTAAAGAATAACTGGGGGACGACAACTCTCTTTAAGTATTTAAGATTTAGCTGGACATACAGAATACCTCCCATTATCGCTAGCTGCTTCTACAAAGTCTACAAACAATTTGTTTCTCAACTCGTCCATTTGGTTGCAGAGTTCTGATTATTC